TCCATTTCATGGGATAAAAGTCGGAAAAGTATAAGAAAAGAGGCAGACAGTTTAATGAGGATCATTGTTTACATATTTCCGTTACAAAATAGTAGTTGACACGATTACACACGAAGGAGGATCGCGCTCGTGTTCGGCACTTGTAAACTGGATGGCCTGTTATTAATTTCACCTTTTGCTGGAAGAGCGGCGCGACGGTCTTTAGAAAGACTGCTATGACGGGATTCTCGTCTTCTTCTCATGGGATATTTTCACGAAGAAATTGACGCTCTCTGTTTCCGCAGCTTTCTGCAGCGAGACAACTTGCATTCGCGTGTGTTCTTTTTTTGTGACGACTCTGTCCCGATGGACGGATATCACTATTTTCGGTTTTCCGTATCGGAAGAGTTGAGCTTACGGCGGCCGTTTTTGTCGTTTCTATAGAAGCTCCATTAATACTCGGTAACGCAATAAACTATATTTAGGGGGCGGCATGGCGTACGTATAGTATGATTTGATATCTCGTGAAACACCACATGGCCCCTGTGAATTTCTCCCTTCCTCTTGCTCTCTCGCTCTCTCGCCTCATCCGCCTCCACCTCGCCGTCCGTCCCTCACCTCCTCTCTTTTCCGCTCCGTGGCCCCCTTTTCCGCCGAGAACTCCGCCGTTTACCGTTTAACTTTTTAATATACATCGATCTTTTCACATAGTGGAAAACTAGGTTAGAAAAAGTCACGTTCGTAATCGAGCGTAATCACGCGTATCGAGAGTCATTGAAATTGAATGTCGTGAAATTAATTTTTGTCAAGGTCGATCGTCGTTATTTATTGACACGATATTGGCCATCTCCGTCCGAGAAGAAGTCGGTGTTTTCGTAACCTTTTTCAATTACGACATTTTATTACGAGATGCACCTCATCTAAATTTTATGCAATCATTAAGTTTTGCGGATTCCGAAATTATGAAATGTACACAATATCGATATAGATGTGGCATAATTGCGTAATTACATTATTCTACAGCACATAGATGAAATTTAATTTTCACCTATTCGCTCGATCTGCAAGCGATATAAAAATGCAGACCTCTTTCTCTCAATTTTCAGAAAAAGGCGTGGTTTTGGAGATGCTTTTTGGAAGAATACTCTGTGCGTCTGAATAATCTGTAAAATTCGCTAATTGTTAATGTGTCTGTGTCGCGCCTGGATTCTTTTTTTTCCAATGATTCGACAAAGCGAGGTGCGAGGCCCAGCAAGAAAGAGGAAGAAGCGGCGAAGAGAGAAATGAACGGAAAGAAGAAGAACCACACGTGTCACACATACACACATACATGCAACGGAAAAATAAATAAATTCTGGTAGCTGTGCACCGATAAAGCGCAGAACACCACGGTTTACCTCCTTGTTTACGTCTACCGCTTCTTTCTGAAAGAAAGGGCCTACTTAACTAACGGCGGAAATAATAATTAGTGTATGTGTCGACGTTCGATGCGAGGTCCGGAAATCCCTGGGTCACGAGGATGGCACGCGACCTTTGTGTATCCTTTTCCTAAACACAACGTTCTATTCTTCTGATATATACTTTACTATGTTGCACATATACGTATACAGTCTATCTTGCGTAAAAAGTTAAAATTATTAAAAACACGTGGTTCGATTATTCGGAATGATATTCAGGATGCGTCGCTGCAATGTCGGTGCGATGACGCATGGGAAAAGTGCAATTGCATATTTTTCTTTAACATTGTATTATATATGTGTGTGTGTGTGTGTGCGCACAAAGGTGCGATTAAAATGTGAAAATATAAATTATTATAGTCCGTCTTAATTTAAAGTAAAAAGGCTGACGATATTTTGGCAATGCTAATTTTCTCTTAAACGTGATTTCGAACGAAAATAATAAGCAAGGATAACGCAGGATATACCGCGGCTTCCCACAGCTCGATCTAAGATGATTATAGACGATTAGAACATGTTCTGGATTGCGTCTTACTACCGCAAAAGAGACTGGCGGCGACCGCTATATTTCTGCTCCTGAGCTCCGATGTCTTTACACCCTCGTGTCCAAGTAGCAGATACGCGGGGATGAACCTCGTTTAAGCCTCGTTTAAGGACACACACGCGTCAGGAAGTCCGAAAATATGTCGGGAAACACAATATATATATATATATATCGGGCATATTAATCGGGCAATCAAGAGCACCTACATCGATAGCATTACAAGTCTTTTCATTCAGAAAATAAGAAATAAAAGTATTTCTTTTTGCCGGCAATTGTTGCAATTCAATTTAGATCATTCGGTATTTCGGAAAGATTCTAAATATTATACATCACTCCGTGCTCCACACAACAGCTAAGGTTAAGGCGTAGTCGGTTAAAGGCTAAGGGGAAGAGTAACGCGAGGATCGGAAAATCAGAGGGTCGTGCGCAAGACGAGAGAGAGAGAGAGAGAGAGAGAGAGAGAGAAAAGTGATCTTTTCTACGCCAGACCACCACGCACTTCTCTCATCCCCGCTATCGTGATTATTACTTAATAGATATCACGAGGAGGAGCCGCCAGGCGCAAGGGAAGACCTTCATTATCACACGCGCTGCGCGCTGCCGCCGACACCCGCGCGGCTTTCCCTACCTTTCACTGTTGCGTCTTGCGCACATCCTTCGCCGAACGCGGCAACGCCAAGAACGCTTTGGTTGGTCCTTGCCCGCCCAGCCCTTGGTGAAGGGCTGCTTGTTGGTTGAAGGAGAGAGAAAAGAGGGAGAGTGAATTCGATCGCCGTTGCTCGGCGATTCGGCTTGATTGATTGCGCAACTTGTTTAATAACATAACATTCTACGATTTCTAAATGCGCTTTCTAAATGTCGCTCGAGGACAGAGACCAGCAATTCGATTCAAATTCCAAGAATACGCGGATTCAATTCGAGAGTATAAGTAATGGGATTGCATTTTTGACTCAGTTATGACGCGGTCTTTATTGCGGTAGAGATGAAGGTATGTACTTGGAGGTATCTGGAGTCTCCAGAGAGAGAGAGAGAGAGAGAGAGAGAGAGAGAGAGTCAAATGTTTAAAAAAAAGTCATCGTCTCGAATACCGTGGCCGAAGCGCGTGTTCTATCTCTCTCTTGGTAAAAGTGTTTCATGAGGTAGGCGTGGTAATTACGGTTGCGCCTGGCATTGAAGGTAGGAAAAGTTACTCGTCTTATAAGTGCTCCTTCAATCGCGGCTTTTTCCTTTGACAGCGAAACACCCCATCGACCCTATGGAGAAGTTTCTATGGCGTTTGCCGGCGTTTGCAGACTGCCAGCCGGCCACACTCGACCAATCATTTTCCCCGATATCTACTAGTAGGCCACTAGGCGCCGAGAAAAGAAACGGAAGAGGTTGAGAGCATTATCGAACACAGAAGAATGCCGGAAAGAGGATGAAGGAGGGAATGTTGTTTGCCAAGCGGTGATGATCTTTCTTTTATCAGTCGATAATCTTCAACGACACGACGAGAGAGGATCTTCGGCTTGTCGCTGAACGCAACGTCGTTCAGGGCCTCATCTCACGCTAGATATTGTTCTTTCCGATCACATCTGTGAGAAACACTGACTGTTTTCCTCCTGTTTTTCTTCCTTCCTATTATTATAATCCCACACTTATCGGTATAAAAATGTTTGACAAATCTAATTTACGGCAGATAACTAGAAATAATTATTCGACTATTACACATCGCGACGTCTGGCATTTCTCTCGAGAATAGAACCAGACGCCCGCCCTTATCGGCCGGATAATACATTTGCAGGATTTTTTATTTTTTTAGAGCTTGTCACAAGATTCGGCTTTGAATAGCAATTACATCGCAAAAGAGAGTAAAAAAATTATAATTTTTAATCATCGTCATGAGATAAATGATTCTGTTTAAGAGACAAATATACGTGTACACACGTATAGTATAACAGTGTGTTACTTCTCAATTGAATTTATTACAGCCACTATGGGGCAGCGGGAGGGGAAGATCACCGTCGTTGGTGAAAAAAACAAGGAGGAAACAAGTGTCGACTTATTTATGCGGACAGGTTGTTACAGGGTGCGAGAAAAGTGTCCCGCGGGACACTATTACCGTTCTCCGAGAAGTCTCCTCGACGGTGTAAGATCTTTTTCCGGTTGTCCTACCATTTTTAATCTATATAGAACACGTAAACTTGTAGGGGAAGCTTTTTTCTCAAAGAGTCGGTACATTCACTAGCGGACTCTTCTCTCCCTCCCTCTCTCTCTCTCTCTCTCTCTCTCTCTCTCTCTCTCTCTCTCTCTCTCTCTCTCTCTCCCTCTCTCTCTCTCTCTCCCCCTCTCCCTCTCTCTCTCTCTCTCTCTCTCTCTCTCTCTCTCTCTTGTTTGGTTATTGGGTAAGAAAACCTTATTGTAAAAGTGGATAGGATAGGTTGACGATTCACCGCTTTTTGCTTCGTGCTTATTACACACTGCCGATATAATTAAGCTGTTTTCAATGCTGCAAATATATCTAACAGGTTTAAATTGTATTTTACGGCAAAGAGCGATAAATGCAGAGAGCGAGAGAGAGAGAGAGAGAACAAGGGAGGAGGGGAGGAGAGGAGAATTCGCTACACGTCACTACGAAACGCGCAGCAGTTTGCTGCGTGTTATCACGCGTCGCGAAGCCGCCGCTAATATTATTACACCGCGTAGGGAAGCGCGTCTGAGCGTTCTCGTCGATTGGCAAAAAGACGAGCATGGTGATGGCGATACGTCGTGAATCGCGCGAAGAATCGCGCGGAGGGGAGCACCGGCGGCGCGTCATATCCTAAATCATACCCCACTTTGCCGTCGACGAAGCTCCCTCAATTTACTAATTGAATCCTGGTTCCCCTCTGGGGCGTAGACTAGACCGGACTCCGCCTGTACGGGGTCGGGTCATGATACAGGCCCCTCCGAGTACACCCACTCATACGGCGGCGGCGGCGACGGCGGCGACGGCGGCGACGGCTGCTGCTACCACCGACACCAAGCGCGCGGAGGCACTACGCGAGGGATAGATCGCTACCATACCGAATTCTGCTTTCTCAGTGTCACTTTGACCGCACGTCCGAGATCGGTACATCATCATCTCTCAGCCGAGACTGGCAAGAGCGACTTTGACTTTGCGCTGCCGTCGATGACGAGTTTTCGATTCTCGAGCGGGTGCAAAGTTCACTTCACCCGAGCGAGATCCTGAGACGCATAATCTAACTTGTAATAACAATCGATGCGAGGGAAGAAACGTAACGAGATCTATCTAATACGACAGTCTAAAGTAACGAGTTCCTTTAACCGTGATGTAATGCGACAGATGTAACGGACGGTCATCACGGACATCAACATAATCGGCTTATAAGTAACAATTAAGTCTATTGACCGAATTCTGTTGAATTCAAGTCAATTCGAGTCAAGTTGCGTAGCAGAGAGGAGTAAGTTTGGTGAAATACACGCTGTTAAAGTGCGATCGGACGAGTGTTTGGACGAGTGTTTGGAGGAGGAATCTGACCTGGAGGAGGTAATGATGCTCGGTGGATACGAGGCACAAGCGGAATATTATCCGCAGTGGCATCAACCCTACAATTATGTCACTCAGCTTCCCTACGGTGAGTGTGTGTGTGTGTGTGTGTGTGTGTGTGTCTGTGTGTGTACCGCAAGCGTAGAGCGTAGATTGATTCGTTTCCGAATCTCGCTTAATGAGTCAGATCAGTCGAGAGAAGACTCGATACTCTCGAAGATTGTTCCTTCAACAAGAGTTATTCGACTCAATGATCATACACAGAAGATATTAATCAAATAGATTAATAAAGGAATCTTCTGCATGTTTGACACACACGACTTTGTCGACTTTGCGGTTGCGGTTGCAGTTGCGGTTGGGGTTGAGCGCGCAAGAACGCGCAATTTATTAATAATCACCGTTTCCTTATCACTGATCTTTCATTATTATTATCCCCAGAATAGAAATATCAGGCCTATCTTGCACATGCCAGACAATTCAGAAGACGAGACATTAGACGAGAAATTAGAGAATATACATTATAGATTGCTTTCTTTTCTCTTTTCTCTATTCTACACACACACACACACACACACACACACACACACAATTCGAAACGTCGATTACATGCGTGTAGGCTAAATTTCGGATATTCTTTTAGTTTCTTCTTTAGTGGCTTCTCTTCTCACATTGTTTGTTGCGTAAGGAAGAATTAAAGAATTTCCTTGGACGCCCCTCGCCCATTCTCATCACACGCATAGCTCTTGCACGTTTGATCGTATTGTACAAAGTATTGTTTCAATTTCTAACGAATATTAGTATAACAACGCGCGTGCGCGTCTAAAAGTAATAATAGAAAATAAATTGACATAAAAGAATAGAAGGATAGAAAAGAATTAGTCTTCTCGACGGCGCAACTCGATCTTCTAATTTCTAGATGGTTCTATATGGCGCTATTGAACATCTCATTCAATCTTCTCTCACTACTGCCTAATTCGTATCGGAGTTTATATACGGTCGATATACGGTCGAGCAATAACGAAAAGAGCAGGAGGAATGCTACGAGCATGCTATTTAATGAAAAAAATGTGGTATTACCACACCTTGTAAAATATAATTATCTCGAGAGGAATGTGAGCGCGCGATGCTCATCATGACGTGTACGAGTATACGCCATACTTGTTTTGCACTCGATGTAACAGTTTTGATATACGAGCGCTTTTTACACAATGTCGACCCCCTCCCTCCTTCCCCTCTTTCTACTATATATTTGTAACAAATTTCTGCTGGGAAATGCACTGGATCGCATTTGGATCTTTCGGTCGATGAAAAGTTCTACTTCTCACTCACTTCAAAGTGCGTAGCAAAACAAAAGCGGGCAACGTTCAAACGTATATTTGGAAAGGTGATTTCCTCTCCTCCTGGAATGCGGTAGACGAAGATTCGCGCTGACGCACGAGTGCGATATCGCGGCCGAATGAATGCCGATACGAACACATTTGACACAAGCACAAAATTACCGAGAGTACAAATCGGGTTCCTACGATTGCAGAAAGATGCATAATTCGGCATGGCATAATAATTTGATCGAGGGCGAATTTCCACCGTGTATCGATCGTGATGACAATTGTAGTACGCAAGTTGTGGTACGCGAGAATTATTCGAGAATCAATTCTAGCGACGACGCGACACCTGTACTCGATCGTGCCGAAATGACATGCGATATCGACTTTCCGAAACATCGATTTCCGATTCGCAGGGCCACTCGGCTCGGTGGTGACCTCGGCTCCCGATGCTGACAGCCAGTCGACGTATTGGGGCGCCGATTCTGGCATTTCGGGGGACAGTTCCGGAGCAGGTAGCCCTACCGCTTCGACGCCACCCCTGATCGAGGAGATTGGTATACAGGAGCCAAGTTATTCGCCCGTGCAGCAGTACGCACAACCGTCGGCCGGTCAGCACTATGCAGCCACCCTGCAGTATCCACAGCAGCAGGAAACGTCGCCCCACCATCATCATCATCATCTGCATCACCATCATCACCATCATCATCAGTCTAGTCACAGACGAGGCGAGCACGAGTATGCGAACGTGCAGGTCGGCGGTCAGCAGCAGGTCATCGGTGGGGTCGTTGCCTCGCTTCAACAGCACCTTCATCAGGGTGTACGCGAGGGTGATGTCGTGCCCAGGCCGAAGAGGCGGAACACCGCCAATAAGAAGGAGAGGAGACGCACGCAGAGCATAAACAATGCCTTTGCCGATCTGAGAGACTGCATACCGAACGTGCCAGCGGATACCAAATTATCGAAGATCAAAACTCTGAGACTAGCAGCGTCCTACATCGGATACCTGATGGCGGTTTTGGAAAGCGACGAAGGAGAGGAGCCACAGACCTTTCGCGCGGAGATCCTTTCGAACGGCAGGAGGAACAAAGCGGCTCAGCCCAATCAGGTGAATTACTTATTGTCGTATTGCTCCCTCTCCCTCCCCCCCACCCACCCTCCGCCCCCGCCCTCTTGTCTATCTCAAGTCGCAAAGTTTCTCGCGCATGTTTCTCAGCAACTTTGAGCTATAAGCTACGCCGGCACCGCATAGCAAATGTTCCTCCTCAGGGACGTGAAATGATTCCTCTCGCTCTCCCGTAGATTTAGGAAACTAAATCTCTCAGAATATGCCTTCATAAGTCCGAGTCACTCTAACGTAAACATTCGCCTCTTTCCTTTGACCTACGCTCGTGTTGGCTTGTTGACCTTAAAACCATCATCGTGCCTCGAGATTCGTTAAAACCGCATCACGTTGTACTCTCACGCGTGATCGTGATTGCGTGTAAAAAAAGCCCGACCCGAGAAAGGAGAAAGAAATCATTTTCTTGGGATTTGTGCGCCTGCTGAGAAGAAGTGCCGTTTATATGACATGATGACACACACACACACACACACACACACATCACACATCACAATATTTAATAAATGTCCAAAAAGATTTATTGCATTTATATATTTATATATCGAAATATCGAAGAATCGACAGTGGCTTGATTTTGATCGGAGATACGCGTTCCACCGAGGGATTATTGCTCGTGAGGGATTGAATAGGAAGCGCTATCATAAGGTGAACAAAAGAAATTTGATGGTGATGTGCATCGAATGGTTTGGTCTGTCCACAATTCCGACATTCCGAAATCGAATTCAATTCCCTCGAGCCAGCATTTTGTGGTTTTCTTCATTTTCCGCGATCATTTCACCGCCCACGTAGATTTATACCTCCCTCGGTAGTCGGGGCGCCGTAATTTTCACTCACGATCAAAATTGACGTCCTTTATTTTTGAGGTTCACCTCAATTCTGATAATCGTCTCCCCATTTTTACTCCTACAAATTTAGTCGGCACTTTCTTTTTTCTCCTCTACCTGATACATGAATATGACGGCAATGAATGGTAACGGCAAGATGAATTTATCGCGAAGACATTAGTTATTACGCATCTCTATTCTTCCGTAGAATGAGTCGTGTTTGCAATCCGCCTCGAATCTCGGTCACGAAGAGTCAACGAAGAGCAAAGGACGAACGGGATGGCCGCAGCACATGTGGGCCCTCGAATTGAAACAAGAATCACCGACCAGCCAGATGCAATAAAATACATGGGAGTCACTTCTGTCAAAACATATCCGCGACATTTCACAAAATATCGTCTCAAGTGAACGTTTATGTATACTTTTTGTTTGCGACTGTCGTTACTACTGGACGTCGAAAAGATGTGATTCGTGACTCGTCTTGATTTGTTCGCCGCGCGTTTCTCTTTTAGAGATGTCTTTGGAAGATTATAAATCGTGAGAGAGAGAGAGAGAGAGAGAGAGAGTTGAGAATGAAGCGAGACTGTAAAAATTGTCAAATTTTGAGAAAAGATAGACACTTTGCGGAATCGCGGAATCGCAGCATTGCTATGCTTA